TCTTCTTCCTCCCTTTCGACTTCTAATCAAAACTCCATGCAATTATACCTTCATGACTCGTTTTTTTTTCTCTGTTCCATACACTCAGAAATTACAAGTGTAAGGTATGCATGCTATTTCTCTTTCTGATTAATGCAATGACGACAATATTCGACAATGAAAGAGTGGCTCTAAGCAAAGATACCTCTGCCATTATCACTCATTTGATATGTCAAATCCATGCAGAAGAAGAAAATGGTAAGCCATGGTTGTAATTTAGCAACGAAAATCAGAAAATGGTGTGATATGACAATACGTTATGTTTCGGATGAAAACAATAGGACCTTTAGCAGGCTCTTTTCAAGGGAGAAGACTGGTCTCGGTCCAAGCGATGACTGGGCCGAGGGTTTCCTGCACAGCAAACACACTTAAACTAGCCTCGTGGGTGGTTGCCGAGGAAGGCCCCTCCGATGCTAAAGTTAGTTCAGTGTATTTAGAGTAAATGCTATTTAAGAGAATTAATTGCTTGAGGCTGATTGTGAATGAATGTAAGATGATACAATTGATGGCTTTTTACCTTTACTCAAGGAGGAGGACTGGGTCATTGAAGTCAGATGGGCTTGCCATGCTTACTGGGCTTGATTGACTTTAGCATGCTTTGGAGAGTTAGACCTTGCTTTGGGGTTTTGTAATTAAATCATTTGGGCCTGCCTAATTAGGTTAACTAAATTGGACCCAAACAACTTGCCCCCCAGACCCGAGTCGGAAGGAGGACGGGTCGGGTTTTTACTTGCAAAATGGAGGGAAACAAATAATTGTAATTTGAAAAAGGAATTTGGACAGTTAATGATGTTGTAACTGTCATTAAGGAGAATAATTGGGGGATATAGTAGGCTTTGTGGGTAGTGAATCTAGGGATGTGTTTAACGGTTGTGTTTAAGTGGAATTTAGTGGGGTTTTTGGCGGTTTAGAACTCTTGGAATTCTTGATTCCAGCGAACTTATATAAACCACCTTCTCCACTCTTTTTCCGTCACTTTTCGCAAACACAATCTCCCTGAATTCGCTAATACCCACAGAAAACCGCATTTTTCTTCAATCCTAATCTCTGCAATTCTGAGCTTGAGACTAGAATCTTTTGCCTCGAGCAAATATATAGGTAGATTTCGAGTCGGATAAAAGTCATTTTTCTTGAAACTTGTTCGGCTTTCTTTGGTTTTAAAAACTTGAAAGGAATGGTGTCCTTCCAAAAAGTGTATTATTTTGATAGAGGGTTCAGAATTATCGGAAAGCTAATTCTTCAATAAGGTCAAATGATCGGAATGTCTAGGTGGAGGCCGCTTCCGATCAGTAATATTAATGTTCAATTAATATTACAGCTTAATCTTGACTGAACCCTTCGGGTCGAACCCAATCGAACAACCGATCCGAGATGACGAATCAATCTGAAGGATGTGATGAGTCGTCGGAGTTTTACGAACAAAGACGTCGGATATCGAGCCTAGGGCGTCAAGACTGAGCGTCGCAAAATCAACAAGCAACAAGTTCAAGCGTAGCCGTAGCATCATAGTGACCTAGCCATGTGAACGCTAGGCTAGCTCGAGCTAGCATGCACTGTACGTGGCTAGGCGCAAGCCTGGCATGCCATGCGTGCTAGGCGCTAGTGCCCAGCTGCTATAGCAAGGCTAGGCCTTGCTAGCACTTGCGCACAACATGCCCAGTTGCTATCGCAAGGCTAGGCCTTGCTAGCACTGGTGCACCGCATGCCCAGCTGCTATCGCAAGGCTAGGCCTTGCTAAGCACTGGCACGCAACATGCCTAGCTTGTTAGGGGCTTGCGTGTGGCAGCATAGCGCATCGCTACGCACCAGCGAGCAAGAACGCTGGGCTTTGAGTGAGTGCATGTGCCTACGCCCAGTGTTAGCAGCCTCGCACAGCATCTCGCCAGGCAGTGCCCAGCATAATGTGTGGCTCGCCAGCAGCAAGCAAGTGCTGGGAGGGCTAGCTGATGCATGCTGGCAGATGCACGTTGTGCATGCTAGCTGCGCATGCTGGGCTGGCTGTGCTAGCTAGGCAGCAAAGCAAGCAGCCAGCTCACCCCTTGCTAGGTGGCGGTTTGTGTGGGGACCAAAGGATGGTGTTTTGGCTTGGGGAGCAAGGTGTGTTGGTTTCCCTTGTAGTCCTCACCTAACCTCTCCTCACCATGTGACACTTGTTGATTATCTATTGCTTGTCATTTTATGATTGAAATGCAAATTCTCCCACATTGGTGGGAGAATGGAAAATCAAGTAGTTTTCTCTATAAATACCAATGGTTGGGCATTTGAGAATTTACTTGAGAAGAACTCAATGAGGCATCTCCCATTAGGTGAGAAAACCTCTAAGTTCGTAAAACGCCAAGTTTTATTGGTCGGGTCCCGACTAACCTTCGGGACTCTGACTGTTCGGGTCGGGTTCGTGGGTACGAGCCGTTGGAGGCGATCACACTAGTGACGCTCGAGCTTTCGAAGTAAGAGCTCGATTTCCGAGTGAAGCACGCATCAAGGGTATAACTTCTTTCTCTCTCCTTTTAATTATCGCTTAATTATGTTTATGATTGTTTTGATTGCTCTAGTTATCGGGGCGGGTCTTGGGGGGTTTCATTCCGCGTAGTGAGGGTCACTACGAAACCCTACAGCGGTATCGGAGCCGCACTCCTTTTAATTATTGCAATTATTTATTAATTAAGGTTTTTTAAAGTAGATTTAAAATCTGGTTTTGCTTTTCTAATTGGAGTAGAAGCTCGTTTTAATTAATTTTAAAACTCGTATTTTTCTCGTTTTGGCTGTTGAACCCAGATTTTTGCTCAAAAATAGTCTTTTTTGGGTGTAATCGACATTCTGAGTCAGATTCAACCCTCTTTAAGGACTATCCAGAATCCAAATTCGAACCAGAAACCCATATTTTTGGGGTTTTTTTCATTTTCAACGAAAGTTTTAAATCTTTTAAGCCTTGATTAATGCAAGCATTTCAAGGGTAGATTAAATGCCTTATTGCATCCCTAAGCATTTCAGGGGGGTGGAGGGTACCAGGCCAATAAGGCCTATAGCAAGGAGGGTTGTCGATCTTTCCAACAATAGTCCTCCTCTGCCTAGGCCCTCCTTTATGGGGTCAACTTTTGAGGTTGGTGAGTCGTCGGCAGCTCCTCGAGTGGCGGGGCTAGATGGTGCTCCAAGATCGCTATTTCAAACTTTGGGGATTACGGAATGGGCATTTTCTCATGGTGGAGTAGAAAGGAGCAACGTCATGGGTATGGAAAATAGAGGAGGATTCGTCGAGACTAATACTTTCTCTGTCAGCCCGCCTCAAAGGGAGGATAATTTGGATACTTTGGAACGAGATAGGAATGAAAGGGAGTTGCAATTTGAGGAAGCTGATTATGCGAGTATTATGGAGGCTAGCACAATTCTAACACTGGGTATCCGAGAAGCGAGAAGGGCAGAAATTGAAGAGATGCACCGTACTATTAGAGCAGCATCCTCACCTGTCTTGCGTTTGACACCATTAGATTTGGGTGGATTGCCGAACCTTCCCCTTACGGAATTCGATCCCCCAACACACCGGTATCGCATTTTAGTTCTCTCAACTTTACTGATTTATTCAACTATGATGATAGTGCAAACAACAGGAAACGAATCAAGGAGGCAGTAGGTCATATGCCGCAATCATGTGATGGTGACTCGGTCCGTTATAGCGAGACTGACTTCGAGTGGGTTAAAAGAAAGAGACTTAAGAGGTTGCATAGGTGGTCCGAGAAAGGAGGTTTTACTATTTGGATCAAGGGTAAGGAAATGGGTAGTAGGTTTGCTTCGAAGGCCATAACTGACCCTGATATGGCAAGAGAGTTTGGGGTGGATATTGACGGCGACCTTCGAATGAGAGGAAAAAACAAGAGAATGTAAGACATGCCGACCTCATCTTCTGAATCTTGTAAAAGGCAAAAAAGTGAGGAAGTTACCTCGGCCTTCAGGGAAGTCAGAGAGGACATGGATGTTGATCTTCAGATGTCGGTTTTTGATTCGACAAAGTTTGCTTCAGGAGGTGAGGAGGCTGCTCCAGATCAGCCCCCATCGGGATTATGAATGTTGTTGCATGGAATAATAGGGGTCTTAATGATCCACACTCCCTTACAATTCCCTATATTGTGTGGCTTTATCGCTCAAAGTTACCAATGTTTTTGTTTATTTCAGAAACAAAGATGGATTTTGATTTAGCGGCGGCTAAGTTTAGTTTCTTAGGCCCAACTTCCAATTTTGGTTGGAGTTGGGATGGAAGTAGTGGGGGGCTTCTAGTTTTGGGATGGTCTAATGATGTAGTTGATTGTTTATTTTCATCAAAAAACTTTATCCTATGTAAAATTTCTGCTCTTAATGGAAATTCTAAGTATGTGCTGTTTTTTTACGGAGAGCCTCAAGTAGAATTTAGAAGAATAGTATGGGAACAACTCCAATGGTTTCTGGAAGAATTCAAAGATGTTCTAGTCATAGGAGATTTTAATCAATTAGAGAGTGGGAGTGATAAATTAGGGGGTTCAGTTCGTATAAGAGGAATTGAAGCCTTCCTAGATTGGAGATTTAGTAGCAATGTGACAGAAGTCCCATTCTCGGGACCAAGGTTTACGTGGAGTAATAAGAGAGAAGGGAATGAGCTCATCCTTGAAAGGTTTGACTGAGCCTATGTTACGGAGGAATGGTTCAATCATTCTCCGAATGGGAAAATTATTCATGAACCGATAGTATGCTCCGACCATGCGGCTATTACTTATATTGATCAACCGAACCTTTCTTCATCGAATAGGCCTTATCAGATTGAAAACTGATGCCTCAATTTTCCAGAAGTGAAAGAAATAGTGGATTCAGCATGAGTTGAAGAGGTACGGGGCTCACAAATGTATCAGTTATCAAGGAAACTAGATAAGGTTAGGACTAAACTTCAACATTGGTGTTTGGAAAACAAAAAAGTATGGGGGATAAATTGGAAAAAGATGACTACAGATCTCCAAGCCGCGGGGATGAGCATAAGTTCGCTGCGGGAAGGGGAAAGCTACATCCAGCGGATAGTTCCTGAAAGCAATGTGTACTTTAATTTTTGGAGGCAAAGGATGAAGGGAAACTGGGTTAGGTTTGGGGATTTCCCGACGACAACAATGTATAGGAGGGCGAAGCAGAGACAAGCTAGAAATGAAATTTTGTCACTAAAAGATGATAATGGGGAATGGGTGGAAGGTATGAATGAGGTGGAAAAGTTGATTTCAGATTTTATAAAAAGTACTTATAACCCGGCTCACATGGATAATAGAGGAGAGGTAATTGATCTGTTGCTGCGTCAGCTGGATATCCCTCTTCTCACGGACGACGACAGGAGGTGTCTTGGTAGGGAGTTCTCAGATGGTGAGATTAAAAAGGCCATGTTTGATTTACCTTTCTCCAAATCTCCAGGTCCGGATGGTTTTACGGTGGATTTCTTTAAGACCTATTGGCAGGAGGTTGGACATCTAGTAGTAGAGAGCGCCAAGCAATTTCTAAGAACAGTACACATGCTCAAGAAATGGAACCAGTCGCTCCTGGTGTTGATCCCAAAGGTAAAGGCCCCAGAGCTTGCAACTTACTTTAGACCTATAAGCCTATTCAACACGGTCTATAAGTGCGTTTCAAAGTGCCTGGTCAATAGATTAAAACCTATTCTATCTAGTCTAATCTCTGAGAACCAGCATGCATTCATTCTAGGGAGATACATGGAGGATAACATTATCTTGAGCCATGAACTCATGCACTTGATTAACTTGAGGAAGGGCTCGAATTTTACGGCGGTTAAGATTGATATGTCCAAAGCATATGATAGAGTGGACTGGCTCTTTCTAATGAAGGTTTTGCAGGCTTACGGTTTTTCTAGCCATTGGATTAGGATGCTATCACAGTGCTTCTCGATGGTGAGTTTCAAAACAGTCATCAATAGGAAACTCTCTGGGCACTTTGTCCCAAACTGTGGTTTGAGACAAGGGGATCCTCTCTCTCCGTATCTTTTTATTTTCTGCATGGACATTCTTTCGAGGATGCTGACCTTGGCAGAGGATATTAACCAGTTTCAAGGTTTGAAAATGTCAAGGATATCTCCCTCGATTTCTCATCTCTTTTTTGTAGATGATGATATGCTTTTTCAAGGCGACAAAGGAGTCTTGCTTGTGCATACCGGATATACTTCTTAGGTTTGGCAAAGCTTCTGGTCAACATCTTAATCTACAGAAGTCTGCGATTAAATTTTCTCCGGGTCTTGGCAATGAAGAGAAATTGGTTGTGCCCGAAACAGATAACATAGGGATCCATTTGGGAGCTCCTATAGACATTCAAGGGAAGAAAAGCCCTCATTTCCAATTCTTAGTGGACAGAGTGTCGGAAAAAATCATGTCATGGGCATCTCTTCATCTTTCACAATCAGCAAAGCTAATCCTTATCAACACAATATTGGTAAGCATGTCTGCTCATGTTATGAAGTGCCTGAAAGTACCTCAAAGTATTGCTAACAATATTGATGCGCTGATAACTCGGTTTTGGTGGGCAAAAAATGGTAATAAAAGCCTACATTGGGTGAGTAGGGGTGTTACGCAGCTTCAAAAAGGCATGGGAGGACTAGGGATCAGAGGTTCTTCTAATCTCAATAATGCCCTAATTTTCAAACAGGCCACCAGGATGCACCTTAACCCTCAACTTCTCCTCTCCAGAGTCTACCGAGGTCTGCAAGAGTGCGGTGTCTGCAACATTACAAAGCCCTATATAAGGAAAGGAAATCCATCAATGGGGAGGTCTATCATCCAAAAAGCTGCCCGTGTTTTCAAGGACGGTTATGCTTGGAAGGTAGGAAATGGAAACAGCATCTCGGCAATTAATATGCCATGGGTGAAAGGGGAAATTCCCCTAGTAAAATCAGGCCAAACGCTGAGAAGTGATTTGAATTGGAAAGTAAGTGACTTCATTTACAGGAAGTCCTTTTCTTGGAAAGTAGGAAAGGTAAGGGAGTGTTTTGAGTGGGATTGGGCTAAAGCAATTCTGTCAATGGAATTACCGAAGACAAGTGAGGATGATTTCCTATAATGAAAATTCCATCCATCAGGAAGGTATACAATTAAATCAGGATACTATTACTTGTCAAAGGACCTTGGGTTAGATAACTCGACCTTCTTGGCTAGAGATCAAGACTTCATCAAGCTGATATGGAGAATGGATATATAACCAAAGTGGAAGCTCTTTATGTGGAGGCTCTTTCACAATGGTATTGCTATCAAAGAAAATCTAGCTAAGAGGGGAGTTCAAATTGATATAGTGTGTGATCACAGTAGAGCAGGTAATGAGGATAGCTAACACCTATTTAGATTTTGTACTCAAGCAAAGGAAGTTTGGGAAACTGGATCCCTTCAAATTTGCCTTGACCCTTCAAGATCCATCTCTTTGAAAAGATGGATCCAACACTATATCCTGCTATTTTACAGCGAGGATGGTAAGCATTGTACCCGCGTCGCTCTATTTATTGCGACTCTCTGGGGTTTATGGAAAACAAGGAATGAGAAATGTTTCAAGGAAGTGGATGGGACGACAAGCCGAGTAAAAGAATTTATAAACCTTGCTATGCAGGATCATGAGATCTTTAAAAATAAATATCGTATAGCAAATGATTTAGAGGCTATGAGTAGGGATAATCCAAATGTCCCACTGGGTTTCAATCATGTCCACTTAGGGAAGGAAAAGAGTGGATTTGACGACTTTGTTATGGAAGCAGACGACTCTTGGGATAAGAATTCTACGAGGGCAGGGATATGGTGGGCGGTTAAGGTGAATAACAAAGGCTACGCCCATGAAGAGGGTGGAAAACATAGGGTAGTAGCGTCCGTCATCCAATGCGAAGCATGGGCCTGCCTGGAAGCAATGAAATGGGCACGTGCTAAGGGGAGACATGGAATCCTTATTTTCTCGGACTCCGCTTCCTTGTTGGATAACTTACAGGATAATAAGGGTAAGGAGGTCTCAATAACCTGGATTGTCAAGGAGTTAAAGAAGATAGGGGCGGAGTTCCAGATATGCACAATATTAAAAGTACCAAGAGAGAAGGTTCAAGGAGCTAATGACATTGCTAGACAGTGCCGGGTTAACTTACCTACATAGTTTTATTTTTGTTTGTTTTCCGGGTTAAATTATCGGAAATCTAATTCTTTAGTTGAACCCAATCGAACAACCGATCTGAGATGACAAATCAATCCGAAGGATATGATAAGTCGTCGGAGTTTTACGAACAAAGACGTCAGATATCGAGCCTAGGGTGTCGAGACCGAGCGTCGCAAAATCAACAAGCAACAAGTTCAAGCGTAGCCGTAGCATCATAGTGGCCTAGCCATGTGAACGCTAGGCTAGCTCGAGCTAGCATGCACTGTGCGTGGCTAGGCGCAAGCCTGGCATGCCATGCGTGTTAGGCGCTAGTGCCCAGCTACTATAGCAAGGTTAGGCCTTGCTAGCACTGGCGCACGGCATGCCCAGCTGCTATCGCAAGGCTAGGCCTTGCTAGCACTGGTGCACCGCATGCCCAGCTGCTATCGCAAGGCTAGGCCTTGCTAAGCATTGGCACGCAGCATGCCTAGCTTGCTAGGGGCTTGCGTGTGGCAGCATAGCGCATCGCTACGCACCAGCCAGCAAGCACGCTGGGCTTTGAGTGCGTGATTGTGCCTACGCCCAGTGTTAGCAGCCTCGCACAGCATCTCGCCAGGCAGCGCCCAGCGCCCAGCACAATGCGTGGCTCGCCAGCAGCACGCAAGTGCTGGGAGGGTTGGCTGATGCGTGCTGGCAGATGCACGCTAGGATGGCTGTGCTAGCTGGGCAGCAAAGCAACCAGCCAGCTCACCCCTTTCTACGTGGCGGTTTGTGTGGGGACCAAAGGATGGTGTTTTGGCTTGGGGAGCAAGGTGTGTTGGTTTCCCTTATGGTCCTCACCTAACCTCTCTTCACCATGTGACACTTGTTGATTATCTATTGCTTGTTATTTTATGATTGAAATGCAAATTCTCCTAGATTGGTGGGAGAATGGAAAATCAAGTAGTTTTCTCTGTAAATACCAATGGTTGAGCATTTGAGAATTTACTTGAGTAGAACTCAATGAGGCATCTCCCATTAGGTGAGAAAACCTCTAAGTTTGTAAAACTCCAAGTTTTATTGGTCGAGTCTAGACTAACCTTCGGGACTTTGACTGTTCGGGTCGGGTTCGTGGGTACGAGCCGTTGGAGACGATCACACTAGTGACGCTCGAGCTTTCGAAGTAAGAGCTCGATTTGCGAGCGAAGCACGAATCGAGGGTATAACTTATTTCTCTCTCCTTTTACTTATCGCTTAATTATGTTTATGATTGTTTTAATTGCTTTAGTTATTGGGGCGGGTCTTGGGGGGTTTCATTCCGCGTACTGAGGGTCACTATGAAACCCTACAGAACTTTCCCCTTTTCCCGATTTTCCAATTTTCGCAAAAAAATGGTTCGAGACCGAGATTTAGGAAAAAGACCGGTTGATGCTGAGGATGAGGAAGTTTCTCAGCTGGGTTCTAGGCGCAACCGAGCGTTTAGGCCGATGTCGCCCCTAAACAACGAAACCGCCCTTTCGAGAAGAGAGGATACGGCTTCTTCTGAGGAACTCCCCATTGCTGCGATACCACTAACTTCGGTGTCGTACCAGAGTTGGGAGGAGGCAAGAAACTCCGCTGGTGGCTCAGCGCATGGGCCTCGGCGCCTGCCTTCTGCGGCCGAGGAATGGCATAATCCGCTTAAGAACTATGGGCTGATGAATGCGGCTCCCTATGACTGGTTGGTCAAAGGGAATGACCTCCACTGCTTTGCCAAACAAATTGAGGTGTTCTACGACATCATGGAGGAAAATGGGTAATTGTGTCAAATGCCTGTAGCCAAAGATATAATCCACAGGCCCCCACCTGGTTACCTCGGCGTGTACACCAGGCAACTCCAATTTGTGCTCAAACTCCCTCTGCATCCATTCATTGTTAGGTGCTAAATGGGTACAATATTAGTTAGAAAAACGGTATTGGCATCAGCTTATCCCGATGATTTCACAGCCGAGGAGAAGGAGTTGTTGACTCTCTTCGGAAAAACGTAGAATGTAGGGGGGACTAGCTGAACGACGTTTGTGCCGGAGAACCTAGCATCCCTGCTACCATTATATCTTCAAAGAGAAGATATTAGCTGTTGTCGGCCTCAGCCAAAAATTCTAGAATGGTGAGAAGCTCGGCTAGGGCCGAAGGCCTTTACTTGTCTTCTTTCTTTCTTTTCACATGCTTTTTTCTTCATGCAGAATAACCCTTTTTCCTTTATTTTTTCAGAGCTGCACGAAGGGAATTGCGACTTGGAGTACAACAGACTTGGAATTAACGTTGCTCGGCGAGTAACGAAGAACGCCCCTACTATAATTCCTCCATCTACTAAGGCTCCTGCACTGCGCCCTTCAATGCTTGAGATTGTCACGCCAGCCGAGTACTCCAAATAGAAGCCCTCTGATATCTAAAGAGGGACTCGTTTTTCCTTTTTGGCCTTCAAGAGCAAGCATTTGTTGCTGCTGTCGTTGTTGATGCTAAAGTCTTTGCTGTTGGCTACGAGCAGAACGTTGAGCAAACAACACATGTTGCTGAGCCTAACGTACTTAGCGCCGAAGACGAACTGCTACTGAAGACTTTGGTGAGCTTTTAATGCCTTTTCAGCTTTCATTTATTCTTAGCTTTGTTCCTCTAACTTAAAACAATTTCAGAAATAATTCAAATGAAAATCTAATTACTGAACTTCGGCTGCCTCACTCCTTCTACCTAGTCTTCTTAACTTGTGAAAATCTAAGTACTAGGCTTCGGCTTGAAGTTTTTTTTTTTTTTTTTTTTTTTTTTTTTGCTTTATGATGATGATACTGATATCACCATTTGCCCCCCTGTCTCTTCTACTGCAGTCTGACGAAGAAGAAGAAGACAAGAAGGAATTCGAAAAAGCACAATCATCTTCTTCGGACGAATCTTTAGACAAAGACATGGCAAGCCAAAGGAGGAGAAGAAGAGTTGTTGTAAACCCGGGACAATTCCTGGTTTTTGAGCCTGCCTCCAAAAGACCTTGGCTGGGTGAGGACTAGGCCGAGGCAGCCAAAGAGAAGACTCCTCCTTTTGAGAATTAGGAGGAATAAGTTCAGCAGAAGACTCTTTCCGCTCTACCTCAGTCTCCTCGACACGTAGCTGAGCCTTTTTCCAACGAGGTTCAAGGAGAGGCAAACACCCTAATTCTGCAGCCTGCTGAGGATGACAAACTGCAAATTCTGGAGGAGAGGCCTTGGAATTTTAAGGAGGCTGATGAAAAAGTTGATGATCCCAAAACTTCTGATATTCCATCATCTGCTGGGAACTCTTTCAGAACATTCCAGTCTACAGATATGGGATTTGAGTCCACCCCCATTGGTGTCAGTTCCAGAAGATGTGAGGAACAGCATGCTGTCTCACCGAAACTCAGATGTTGAGTTTTTTGGTGACTTGTATGGCCTTTCATAACTGGAGAAGGCTAAGGTCTAGTCTCATCGGGCAGCTGCTTGAGCGTCCAAACCATTTGTGAGGGTGCCAAACCTCATTGCCGAAACATACAAGATGCTAATGCAGATAGCCTTTACTTAAACCTTTTCTGTTTTAAGTGTCTTTGCTTCATTTTTTGTTAAGCGTGCATTCTTCTAAGTCTTTTTCCTCGGCTGACTTGTTTTTCTGAACTTTGCAGGCCGTTCACAACCACGTCATCACGGCTGGTTTGAATGAAGAGCTGAAAAATAAAGCCGAGGAGGCTGACTGTCGAGCTCGGCTGGCAGAACTTAAAAACAAAAAGGCAGAAGAAGAGTCTTCTGCTAGCCAATCTCGGATGAAAGAGTTGGAGACCGCACTCCGAGACTTCTACCGAGAGATTGAGCAAACCATTTTTCCCTGGATTGAAGAGGGTCATGCCTTAATGCAGGAAATATGGTGCTGTTGACATTCCGAGCTTCAAAGCTCGGATAGAGGAAAAAATAAAATAAGAGGCAGAGACCCGGAAAATGCTAACCGAGGAGCTTAGAATGGAGCAGGCTGATCATAAGGCTGAGATTCATAGGCTTATCAACCAGTTGGATGCCTAGGATTCTGATCTCTCTGCCATGAGGACTGAATTGCAAGGAGTGAATACCCAGCTAGAGGTCTAGACTAATGAAGCTTCTAAAGATAAGGCAGATCTCGAGATTGCGCAAAACTTGCTGAAGGTCCAGATCTATACCCAAGAGCAATATGAGGAAGGATTAGATAATGGATTCAACGTTGCTCGGCTTCTGGCCTTCCATGCTAATCCAGACATCAATTGGGATGTGGTCGAAGAATGGGTAGCAGTTCCTAACCATCCCAACTTGCTTACTACCCATGAAGCTGAGAATGCTTTCCTTGCTCGCCTAATAGAGGCTGATGCCAAAGAAGAAGAAGTGGCTGCAAGGAAAGAGCAAGAAACTTCCCATCCTGCCTCGTCCTCTGCTACTGAAGTTTCAAAGGCTCCCAGCTCTAATCCAGCCAACGCCGAAGCATAGGGACTCTGGCAGTCGTTTGTAGAATTTTGCGGGTCAATGTGCTCTTGGTTGACTTAAACGCTGCAACTGCTTTTTGCCTTATCTTTTGCTTTAGCTAGCCTTGCATTGTACAAACTTATTTTTGCTTATTTTAAGTTTATGTACTAGTTTCAGCAGCAATGTTTTCCACTACTGGGCGGCTGTCGATTTAGGATATCTCTGTACTTGACATTTGAAATCCTCTTTATTAATTTATTTGAAGTTCTTCTCAGCTTTTCTCTTCCACTGCCTATTTTTCTAATTTCTGTACTTAGTTGCTTTTCTGAATTTCTTCGAAATTTTTCTAAGTGTAGAACTGCGGCTTGGAGATATTATTGGCTAAGAACTTCTTTATTTGCTGAGAGTAGGGTGAGCAAAAATATCCGAAAAACCGAAAACTCGAAAATCCGAACCGTAACCGTTCCAAATAATTGGGTATCCGAACCGTTTAAAGAATTCAGAACGGGTAACCGAACCCATAAGAAATTAACGAATCAGGTATCGGGTACCCGAATTACCCGAAAATTTAAAAATGCTTAATGAAACCCGTGTTTTGTTATAAAAAAAATAATAAAATAAGGATAACCCTAATTCTCGTTCAATTTTTTTTTCTAATTTCTGATTTCTCACTCAGCTTCCATCCCACTTTCTCTCTCCTCCTCCTCTTCCTCCTCCCTTCTTCTGTGGCTATCTCCAAGGCTCCGAGCAAGATTTCGCTAGTGGTTGGCTTCTTAGTTGACGGCAGGCTGACAACACTACTTCTCTGGGATTCTTCTTCTTCGATCTAAGTATCTTCTTCTGAATTGGCGAATAATTTACGAATTCCAGGTATTTTTTTTTTATTTTACGAATTACTGATTTGATATATGTGAATCTAGTGTATACATTATTGCTTGAATTTGATAATTTGGGGTTAATTACTTGATTTATGTGATGTGTGGCTATGTGCTACTAGAGGTTTAGAGTGCTAGTTTCTTTAATTTGTAAGCTTTGATAATGTTTTAGGAAGTGTTAGTTTAATTTTGATTACCCATAACTTAATTAGATGTTGGTGCGTGAACATTTATGTAGGAGTAACTTGTTAGGGTTATTTGGTTTGAATTCAAAATTTAATTGTTTGTAAGGTTTTTGAGGTTTTAATTTGTTATTTTGCATGTTTTTAAATTGCATCTTGTTCTAATTTATTCTGGTTGTTGGTGCTCAAGGCTCCATTTCAGTGGTTTATTTGGTTAAAATAGTACTATGTCTGGTTTAGTGGGGAGTGAAATTCAATGGTTGTTGGTGCTCAAGGCTCGATTTCTAAACTATTATTTTGTTGTTGCTTGATATATCATAAAACTGACCTTGATGTGCAAAAAAATATCCCAATTTACTTATTGTATTGCTTAAATAAAAAAATTGTGGGCATCTGTGAGTTTGGCTTTTTCATTCAGAGTTCTTTAGCTGAGTTCTGAACTTCAGATAGTTATAATTCTATGGGCATGGTTTCATATAGTTATATATTTTCCATGTATGAATTATTGGAAACCTCTAATATTGGAAAATATTCTATGGGCTGCAGTGTTGATGCTGATGGTGATGATGAAGGTGGACGATGATGGTGAAGTTGTGGAGAGTATTTTTTTTGTTTTAAGAAATGTTACCTCCCAGTGAGGAACAATCCCTCTTTGTTGATGATGATTAGAGGCAGCAACAAGCATAAAGGATAGAAGGATGATGATGATTCAAGTCAAGAAAACGTTTTCTGTATTATGTTTTTTAAGGGCTTTTATCAATTCTAATTTGCTACTTTATTCATGGACTGATTGTTTAATTATAAATTCTAATAGACAATTGTTAGATTAATTTGGTTGAGGAACTTTGTTTTTTTAATGTATTGTGACTGTATCTTTTTTAAATATTAGGTTGTATGATTGTATGATTTGTAATTTTGTATCAGGTTGTATTTTTTTTAAAAAAAAAAAAATTATGGACTTATTTTAGTTATCATCCTACATTGTTAAATTATTATTAATTTTATTGGGTAAGCGTTTATATTTTTATAAAAAGAAAGGAAGTAAAAACAAAAAACTACTAAAAAGTAAAAACGGATTCAAAGCAGGTTTTAAAGGAACAAAAAAAAAACAGCTTATTAGTTCGGTTCGGATATTTGGTTCGAGTACCCGTATTTTTGGGTATCCAAATTTACGGGTACCCGTTCCTTATCGGATCGGTTTCGATTATTGGTTTTGTCCTTATTAGTTATCGGGTACCCGAACCGATAACGTTATCGGTTCGGGTAATCGTCCCATGCTCTTCCCTAGCTTAGAGTGCACTGTTTTTGCTTGCATTCCTTTTATCTTGCTCTTTTTACTCAGATATTTCAGTTTGTGAAAATTTTTCCAAGTACTTAGCTTTCGCTAGGAACTTGCTAAATGAGTGTCTCTTGCCCCGCCTAGAAATCTGAAGATGAAGTCTTCAAGTTTTTGAGGTGATTGCTCTGACTCCCCGGCACAGCTGAGGGTTTTGCCTTGGTGAAATTTTTGCAACAATCCAGATTTTGGAGTTTATGCTCATTTTTCTTTTTTCTTCTATTTTATTTTCAAAAGGTCTGATTTCTTGCTCAAGAGCCGTAGACTCTGACAGCAATACTCTTGTGATCCTTTTAATTTTTCTGAGGAAACGACTATCCAAAACACGATGCCGGGGAAATGATCTATCCAAAGTACAGTGTTTCACTTAAGCAATACTTCGAAAATGCAACCATCACCCGGAACTGATTATTCGAAGTATAGGGCCTCATTAGGCAATACTTCGGGGCTTTATCAGTTCCTATTTTTTAGGCAATGTTTCTCTGCGCCTGTGGCCTCTTTGCCTGGAGGAACTGATTTGTCCAAAGTACAAGGCCTCATTAGGTAATACTTCGGGATTTTATCATTTATCCTCGTCTCAGCATGCTTTGCGGCTTGCCGAAGTACAATGTCTCATTAGGCAATACTTCGGACAGCACCGGACAAAAACCTTGAATTTGTAAAAACCATGGAAGATAGAAAAAATAGAAACTTTGCTGAATTTGAATAAATGGTGGCTCAAAGGCCTTTCATTAATGTAAAAAGTGTACTTTGATAGATTGTTTTTCCCCCAAAGGGCTTTATACATGATATCTTTTAAGTATATCGGTATTCCAGTGAATTTTCAGCTCAGTACCATCCAATTGTCGAAGTCGGTACGTGCCTGGCTGAAGCTCATCATATATTTCATAGGGTCCTTCCCAAGTGGCCGAGAGTTTCCCATGAATGCAGCCTTTTTGCACAGCAGCAGCATTCCGAAGAACAAGATCCCCAATTTTAAGAAGTCTTGCACGAACTCTTCGGTTGTAAAATTTGCTGATTCTCTACTTGTATGCAGGCATTTTATCTCGAGCTAAATCTCTGATCTTGTCTAAGATGTCAAGGGACTCTTTCAAGAGTTGTTCATTTTCTTCAGCTGAGAAGAGATTCACTCATAGACTTTCTGAGCCTATTTCCACTAGAAGGACAGCTTCGGATCCATACACCATCTCGAAAGGTGAATGTCCCGTTGCTTCTTTTTCGGTTGTCCAAAGTGACCAGAGGGTTCCTGGAAGTTCATCTATCCACTTGGACTTTTGATCTTCAACTCTCTTCTTGAGAGCGTTAAGGATCTGTTTATTTGCAGCTTCGGCTTGACCGTTACTCTGCGGATGACACACCGTAAAATATGCTAGTTTAATGCCGAACTGATCTGTGTACCGCTTCACCAGCAGATTATCAAATTGCCTTCCATGATCAAAGACAAATACTTTTAGAATCCCAAAGCGAGTGATGATGTTTTGCCAAATGAATTTCCTGACCGTTTGCTCTGTAATGTTCGAAGCTGCTTCGGCCTCGATCCATTTGCTAAAATAGTCTATTCCGACTATTAGCCATCTTTTTTTATATGGAGCATCACGAAATGGTCCCAAAATATCCAATCCCCATTCAGCAAATGGGAAGGGATTTAGGATTGGCTGAAGATCTCGCGATGGCCGATGGATAACTGGTGTGAACCTTTGACATTTCTCACATTTTCTGAACAGCTCCTTTGCATCTACGATCATGGTTGGCCAAAAATATCGAGCCCTTAGCGCTTTATGGGCTAAGGCTCTTCCCCTATGTTGTTTCCGCAGATACCGAGATGAATTTCTCGAAGGATAAAATCAGCATCTGTTGGACCCACACATTTCAATAGCGGGGCTGAAAAGGACTTTTTCAGAAACTCTCCTCTGAAGACGATGAATCTTGAGCTGATTCTTTTTATCTTAGAGGCTAAGTTTCTGTCCTCGGGAAGTTCTCCTTGAAGTTTGTAAGCTAGGATGGGGTCCATCCAGCTCGGCTCATATGCGACATAGCAAACCTCAGGTTTTTGGTCCACACTTCTTTCTCGGTGCACTTCCACATATACGGATCGGCTCAACTCGGTTAGAATTGAACTTGCAAGTTTGGAGAGTGTGTCGGCTTATGCGTTCTGACCCCTTGGGATCAGCTCGACTTCAAAAGATCTCAGCTTCGTAATGACAGTTTTGATCTTTGCGAGGTAAGCGATCATTGAGGGCTCTTTGGCCTCATATTCACCTCGAATATGATTTGCGACAAGCTGAGAGTCCGTCTTTAAATAGACATGCTCGGCCTCCAATGCTATGCAAAACTCTAAACCAGCAATTGCTGCTTCATACTAAGCTTCGTTGTTTGAAGCCTTGAATGAGAATTTTAGTGCATATTCAAAGGATTTGCCTTTGGGAGAGGCTATAACGACCCTTGCCCCCAAAACATTCATGGTGGAGGATCCATCTGTGAAAACAGGCCAAATTTTCTTTTCCTCGTCAAGTGTCTCTTGATAAGAACACTCGGCTAGGAAGTCTGCTAAGGCTTGGGCCTTGATAGCTGCCCTCGGTTGATAGCTAATACTGAACTCAGTGAGCTCGAAAGCCCACTTTGCTAGTCTACTAGATTTTTCTACCTTGCCGAGGACTTTTTCCAGTGGTTGATGAGTTAACACCACTATTTGATGGGAATCAAAGTAGGGCCTCAACTTCCGAGCAGCTACCACTACTGTGTACACAACCTTTTTGAGTAAGGGTTAGCGTGTCTCGACATCTGTCAGAGTGTGGCTGACAAAATAAATCGGTTGCTGAATTTTTTCTTCTTCCCTTAGCAACACCACACTTATAGTGGCTAGACTGACCGCCACATATAAGTATAAGGTTTCTCCTTCAACTGGTGTTGCCAGTGTTGGGAGGTGAGCCAGGTGCTCACGGAGCTGCTTAAAGGCCTCTTTTTGCTCGTCTTCCCAAATGAGCTCTTTTGATTTTGGGAGTTTAAGCGCTTTGAAGATAGGAAACCCCTTTTCCGAGGCTCTAAAGATGAACCTGGAAAGGGCAGCTATTCTACCAGCGAGACGCTGAACGTCCCATTTTGTTTTCAGCTCGGGAAGATCCAGAGCTGCTTGAACTTTGGTGGGATTGGCATCAATCCTCCTTTTGCTGACCATGAAGCCGAGGAACTTGCCTGACTTCACGCCGAAGACACACTTCTTTGGATTCAGCTTCATTTTATGTTTTCTAAGGGTGGCGAAGGTTTCGGCCAGGTCCGTGACATGGTTTGTATCTTTTTTGCTTATGACGATTGAATCGTCAACATAGGCTTCCATGTTATGGCCCTTTTGCGAAGACCTGATTAACCAGCCTTTGATAAGTTACCCCTGCATTTTTCAGTCCGAAGGGCATCATTTTATAGTTGTACACCCCGGCGCTTATAACGAAGGTCGTTTTTGCACGGTCGTCGGGGTGCATGAAGATCTTATGGTACCCCGAGAATGCGTCCATAAAACTGAGCAGAGCATGCCCACTTGTCGAGTCGGCTAATTGATCGATCCTCGGCAAGGGATAAAAGTCCTTCGGACAAGCCCTATTCAGATCTGTGAATTCAACGCACAATCTTTAAGTACCATTTGCCTTCTAAACCATCACCACATTAGCCAACCATTCTAGATACTGACAAGGCTCAATAAATCCCGCATCTAGAAGTTTTTTTACTTCAGCTGCGATGTCCTGGTTCTTTTAAAAGGAATAATTCCGCCTCTTTTGCTTAATTAGCCGACATGCCGGGTCGACATTAAGCTTATGAGAGATGAGGTACGGATCAATCCTGGGCATTTCTGATGCCAAGAACGCGAACACATCTTTGTTGTCTCGAAGGAGTTGGATTAGTTCAGCACGAACATTTGGATCAAGTCCTGGTCCAATGCTGATACATCTTTCAGAATTCCCTTCGGTCAACTCTATTTACTCATTCTAATTGTCCAGCTCCATGGTTTGGGCGGTGGACTCTTCTCGCTCAGGCTTGCTGTCAATATCAGCAGGCTTCCTAGACTTTGGCTAATTCTCTGAGTCCTTCGGCTCAGATGAGGAATCAGGCTTTTTCTTCCCCAAAGATTTTTCTTTTCCTAGGGTTCCTTGGGCCGAAGCACTTAAGCCTTTAGGCTTTTTAGCGCAACGGTCCCGCTCTTTTTACTCCTCATCATCCCGGTCGTCGCAACCACCTTTGGATGGTTTGAGGTGGTTACATCTTCGGGCCTTCTTCTGGCTGCCCTTTATTTTTTCGGAGTGTCCCTCGTCCGAAACATATATCATTATTGGTCGTACGTTGAGATGACTCCTTAAATGTCGTGAATGAGGGGTCTCCCCATGATCATGTTGTACACAAATGGGACATCCACGACCAGAAATTCGACCATGGTGCTCCGTACTGCTCGGCCTTTGCCGATGGTGACAGGAAGAAGGATCTTCCCGTCAGGATATGATGGAGAGCCGTTGAATTTGGATACCGAGTAGGGTACCGGAGCTAGGTTCTTGGCCTCTAATCTTAGCAAGTCGAATGCCCCCCGAAACAGGATATTCGCCCTGCTACCGTCGTTGACGAGGGATCGCCAGACGTTG